CACAAAGTTCAGATGCTGTGTAATATCAACTCCCTGAAATCAAAGAAAGGAAATGACTTACATTCTTGGAAAGTGAAGCCACTAGCAGCTTTCTCTGAAAAACTACACCCTGTGGCAACTGGAAGTATTTCATACAAAAACTACATTTAAATAGATGCTTATGAAACCAATAAACAAATATCACCGGGTCCTTTAGGATAAGGGAAGGAATCACACATGGAAAATACAGCAAGAAATGATTTTCCTCTACATTTAGTAATGCTAGATCCCAGACTTGAAGTCAAAATCAACCTGAGAATCATTAGTTTGTCTTCCCTGCTGTGGATAATGCTCAGCTCCTGAGGAAAATGCTGGCAAAACCGATTCTTTGCTAAAATAAAATAAAAAGTAAAACTAAAAAAGTAGAAGGGAGTCAATGACCTAATATTTCTTTAGGCACAAGTTACACAAAAATACAGTCCCAAAATTTTGCAAGCTTTCATTTCAACTTTAAAATATACTAGTTTTGACCATTTTCCATCTCTTCATCTTTTAGAAAATGCCCCTCTGTTAGGCTCTGCCATCCCGGGACTGGAGGTGTTGTTTTCATCCTTTTGATCTCTCATGGGTGGCCCCAGGTGGCCCTACCTGACAGTGCCTGGCAGCCAGCCTAGAGAGTAAACTGAGGGGCTTCTTTGCTGTCGCCTGGCCTAAGGTCTGCCAATTCCTTCCAAGACCCACATTCTGCAGGCCATGCCCCAACTCACATGTCTCCTGAGATCCCTTCAGGACCAGGAGCTCCATACTGGAGTCGGTTTTCCCAATGAGGCACTTTCAGGGTCATGGAGCAGATGATGCACTCTTGTCCTTTCCAAAATCTGGGCAGCCTGGCCTCCAGGGCAAACAGCAGGTGGCACCCACAGCCTCAGGAAAGCGGGCTCCAACGGTGGTCCCTTCACAATGATGGAGAGCGACAAGTAAGAGCCCTAGAACAGAGTGCCAGAGACACCACCAAGCCCTTGGAACCTGCGGAGCCCAGCGATCCGGGGACGAGGCTCATCCGGGGACGAGGCTCGGTGCACTGAGCCCGGAGCACAGCCCGCAGTCAATACAGGCATCCTGCCATCTCCACAGAGGGGACTGGGAGCTCCAGCTTCCCCTGCTGCCAGGCTCTGCTGCCCTCGGGCCTGTCCTCCCGCCCCAGTGTGGGCTAGCTCCGACTCCCAAGGCAACTTGCTTGCCTGGTGCCTACCCTAGACCCAAGCAAACTAAAAAAAGAAGAAAGACCGAGAGGGAGAAACTGCCTTCCCAGGACTGGGGACCTTGAAAAACCCTCTGTAAACTCGTCCAGTTCGGCTGACAGGGGACCCAGCTGCCGCCGCTGCTGGGGCACAGTTCCCAGGGAGGCTCTGGGTTCCTTTTCTTCCCTCCAGAAAGTTCTGAGCGCCAGGAGTCAGACCCTCCTCAGCTATTGACTTCTTCCTTCCGGCGCCCCCTGCCTGTGCTTTTATTGAGTCTCTCTTAATAAGATTATGTGACTTTTTGTACCACTTGGGGAGCAAAAGAGAACACTTAGCCTCTTTTTTAAAAATAATTTTTAGTTGTGGATGAACACAGCATATTTACTTATTTATCTAATATGATGCTGAGGATCTAAACCAGGACCTCACACATTCAAGGTAA